AAAATAAGTAAAGTGAGGACACAAGTTCACTTTATTCAACCGTTAACGGCCTTGATCAGTTTCTCGAGAGCGAACGTTGCCACAATAAAATGCCACTTAGTTGCACCAGTGTCCTTTTACTTACATATTGTCGGTAATTCTACCACATTAATACAATTCACAAATAACCCGCACATAGAAGAGAGGAGCTCACGACGGCGTTTCGGTCCGACTGTTACCAATTCATCCCACGTAAAACAACCCACCCAAAATCAGTGCGTGTTCGCCCCTCTTTTCCCACACTCTTCCCTTCCCCCTTTCTCTTCTTGAGGCTGGTATTGTTTTTTTGTTTATTTTATTATCCCCCCCCCTTAATGTTTCTTGTTTCTACCTCTTGGGCTCCATCACCTTTCCAGTGCTCCTCTTTCTGGTTATTTGCTGACTCCGCACTATGATACTCTACCATACCTCTCTTGTCCCCGTCCTTCTTCTGGCCTATATATACTCCCTCCTTCTCTCCTCGTTAGTGTGCCTTTGTAAATGGTTCAAGTCGGACCGAAACATCGTCGTAAGCTCCTCTCTTCTATGTGCGGGTTATTTGTGTATATCCGAATGCTTATTGTGTCCCGTGGCCTGGTAGACAACACACTCGCCTCACACACACTGAGTGTCCGTGGTTCGATCCCCGGCAAGGGTGAAAACACTAGGCGTGTTTCCTTACACCCGCTGTTCTGTTCACCTAGCAAGCAACTAGGTACATGGTTGTTAGTCGACTGGTGTGGGTCGCATCCTGGGGGGACAAGATTTAAAAACCCTAATGAAAATAAGGCAAAACGTCCTCAATGCCGCTATGTATGATAATCTATGTAACTATATTTGTGTATACCTGAATAAACTTACTTATCCTAGGTGGCTAACCCACCGGCTTAAAATTCCGATTTTTAAAATAGGATGTAGTTAGACCTTAGAGATCTTTAAAAGAAAACGTATCACCTCAGCGTTCAAAGAAAATGAACTCTGCATGGGACTCTATTTATTGTCAAAACTAATAAAGAAAAAGTGTCCCTTGAAAAACATTATAAACCTGGGTGTTTGTTTGCCAACAGCAGCGATGTTCTCTCAGAATCATTATACAGATTTATACTTCTCTTCCTTAAAATCATTTACGGATTTTTCTAAATCAAAACGAATATTATTCTTAATCTTGTGCATTATATGAGAACCAGAAGTCGAATCTTTATGTCAACGAGTAGAGGTGATTGTGTGAGTAAGCCTTGCCTAGTATGGGTTAGTAGGTATACTCTGGTGTTCCTCCATTTTTATGCTCTTAAGAATCGTTAACAATAGGTTAGACGAATATACAAGTTGAAATGGTTGGCCGTGTAAACCTTCCTATCATGGGTCAATAGTCCTTTATTCTTATACTCGTGTGGTTTAGGAAGTATGGGGTAGATGGTCCTTATATAGGGTGTTGACGGAGGATGTGGCTGCCTGTCACTAATTGTGAAGATAAATGACCCGATCTGAGGTATCAGTGGCCTGGTACGTAACGCTCTGGCTTCACAAACTGAGTGTCAGTGATTCGATCACCGGAAAGGGTTGAAACAATGGGCGTGTTTCCTTACACCTGCTGCCCGGTTCACCTAGCAAGCAAGTAGGTACCTGAGTGTTAGTCGATTGGTGTGGGCCGCATCCTGGTGGGGATGGGACAAGATTTAAGGACCCCAATGGAAATAAGACAGTCAGCCCTCGACGACGCACTGACTCTCTTGGGTTATCGTGGGTGTCTAACCCTCAGTGGTTAAAAATCCAAACAAAACCTTATAATTTGTTGTGAAGCTGCTACTGCTGCCGCCTGAAATGTGTGTGTGTGTGTGTGTTTTTTTTTTAACCGCCTGCGTTTGTTTTATAAGTTCTTTAAAACTTGGCAAGACAGCAAGTCACCTGTGGCCCCCCACATAAGTAAGGCGCCTCTCGAGTCATGTTCTGATACAGGGGATTAGCTTTATCATTCTTATCTCTATGTTTTCCACAGTATTTATGCCTTTTCCATAAATGGACCCCATATTTATGCCACATAATCTAAATAAGGCCTTACCAATCTTATAGATTTTCTAGTATTATCTTGGAACTTCTATGTTTTTTCTATATAACGCTTATTAGTTTTTCTGACCTAGATCGTGCGGTTATGCACGGTATCCGTGGCTTTAGCTTTTTAGTTAGGTTAGGTTTTGTGTTATTTAGTGCCGTATCTGTCACTTCTTTTATCACAACATTAAGCGTTTCAAATTATGCTGAAACTTTCTGGTGCCCTTACAATTTGTCAAATTATTTTTGTGAACTAACTTTCATCGCAATAAACTCACTAACCACGATACGGGTGGAGCTCAAACTCATGGCAGGTGAGTCGTGAAACTCCAGGCTATTGTGTAAGCCATTGAGTAATGAACTCATTAGTGACCCCTGTGGAAAGCCACTGGGGTTACTAGTGACAGGTTCCCGTTCATGAGGATTCGGTGCCTTCCGGTCAGTTATGCCTCTGAAGTTGGTCGATAAATATGATGCGAGGGGTCGTAAGAGTATATATGCTCTAACTAGATGAGCATCACCATCGGTACCAACCAGAATATTTTTCCTCTTTTATATTTTGGCTTTATCATTTCATTTGTGAGAGTGTAGTTTTTAATTTATTGTAAAATCTATACTGTTACATCCGTCTGATAACAACTTCCTCGCCAATGTTGTCTGTACACTGGATTTTAATCTTGGAAATTTAAAAAAAAAATCTTCGGAGTTGTGATTAGAAGCAGACACAAATAACCCTCACATAAAAGAGAGAAGCTTACGACGACGTTTCGGTCCGATTAGGACCATTTACAAAGTCACTTTGTAAATGGTCCAAGTCGGACCGAAACGTCGTCGCAAGCTTCTCTCTTATGTGCGGGTTATTTGTGCATCGTTCCAGTCACGGTATTGTGCCTTTTTTTGTTATGTCTGATTAGAAGAACATGCAGCCAAGACAACAGTAGAATAAATGAGACACTTGTACAATATTTGGGTATCTTTATTGTGGAAACGTTTCGCCAACTAGTGGCTTCTTCAGTCTAACACAGAGAAGAACCGTTAAAGATGAGGAGTTTGAGATCTTAAGATCTTGATGCAGGATATTCTTCAAAGTTTGCTTAACCTATAAACATGATCTCTTTTACTAGTGGATATGCTGTGTTTTTATCAAGATTGATGGACTGAACACATCGTCTCCAGGCTGAGTAACTGACTACCTCAAACTCCTCCTCATCTTCCACCGTTCTTCTTGGTATCGGACTAAGGAAGTCACTGACTGGTAAAACGTTTCCTTAATAAAGATACCCGAATGTTGCATAAGTGTCTCATTTATCAACTCGACGGTTTTCTAAACTATACAACAGTGCATGAATGTTTAAAATAAAACGATTATACTTCCTGGTCTCATGTCAAAAAGGATAAAGACGCAAATACAGTATAATGTGATCCTTTAATGACAACAATAAAAGATCGCATTATATTGCGTTTGTGTATTCCCGAGTGTCGGTATTTTATGCCATTCTCTTCCTCATATCAAGAACTTTAAGCAGCAGACGTCTGTAAATCGCTGGAAAAGCCTCATTTAAATAATGCTGTTCGATTTTGGTCTGCTTGTTGCAGAGTGGACATGAATGAGCCAGAAAACTCACAAAGGATGCCAGAGTTGATCCCCATTTAAGAAAAGCTTCTTACGAAGATAAGTTAAGCTGACTTAGCAATAAGGAGGAGAATTAAGCGTGGGTATGATTGAAGTATATAATTAAAAAAAACGGAATGCAAAAGACATAAAGTTCTAGAAATATCTAACCAATGCTTGACTCAGCAACGAATTCAAGTTGAATAAGTTTCCGTAAATAAAAAATACCTTCAGAACCAGAAAATTTCATTAGGGAACATTTCGCTCCCATAAGCAATGTTCGAGTGTTACATGTCATTACCTACCTATCGTCGGTAAACATATTCCAGAATGAGTAGGCAAACTTGGCAAGTAGCTTCACTGAAATAAGCACTTTGGGTACTTTCAGAAACTGGTCTTGGCGAATGTACAAACTATAGGCACAAAGGATGCAATGCAAATGACCCAGTAAAATGTCACAGTTAGAAATGGCGGAATCAAAATGGAACAAGTAACAATGTCACGTAAAAATCGTAGCACCAGTGAAGAGTATATTGTTTGCATATGGTTAGGTTAGATTAAGTTGTGTTAAATTAGATATATATATGTTGGCTAAGTTAGGCATACGTGTGCGTTTAATTCTCTCAGTTCACCTGTGACATTTTTAATGTGCCCTTTTACCTGTACCATTATCACTTAAGACGAATGAGAGCAGATGTGCTACCATGTCACTGCTAAGGAACTTTGCGACCCACCCTAAACTGTTTTAAGATACGGGGAGGATTGACTTGTTTCTCTATCAAATGTTGTTATAAATTATTTTAAGTATGTTTAAGTCTTTTTTGTGATAAGTCGCACTAGTGATTTACCTGGAGAGGGTTTCGGGGGTCAACGCCCCCGCGGCCCGGTCTGAGACCAGGCCTCATGGTGGATCAGGGTCTGATCAACCTGAACAGCTTGTATTCATTTTTAAAAGTATCCTATCATAAAAAAAAAACGTTCAGCTGCAGCTTGCAGTTTACTAGTTTATGTATTAACATCTCTTCTTATGCAGCTTTCGATCTGATACACAAATAACCCGCACATAGAAGAGAGGAGCTTACGACGACGTTTCGGTCCGACTTGGACCATTTACAAAGTCACACAGTGTGACTTTGTAAATGGTCAAAGTCGGACTGAAACGTCGTCGTAAGCTCCTCTCTTCTATGTGCGGGTTATTAGTGTATCGTTCCAGTCACGGTATTGTGCCTTTTTTTGTTATTCGATCTGATTTTTACTTCATTGGTGTCATGTAAATTATAAACTCAGCAAAGTACGTAGAGGGTAATCAAAAGATATTAAGTATTACAAAAAAGTCTTTATTAAAACGCAATACAAAGCACACACATATTTTTATATTTTGTAAACAGTGTATATCAGGACACGCCCATACACCATAACATTTGGCATTCACTGAGTTCAAGAAAATAATAATTATTACATTAGAAGAACCCAGTTTTAACATATCACTTAAACCTAGTGACATATCACAGCTTTATAATTGACGTTGGAGTGTAAGGCACTTGATCCCTTATAAAAACTAATTTCTTGTTGCCAAAGGCATCCTAGAATGCAAGCTTCTCTTGAGAGTTACGGATAGCTGCACTAGTTAGATAATTTGCTTAATTTACAAGTAATAACAATGGAATGTATATAATAAGAGAAAGCAAAAAGCAATAGATGAAGAACTTGGGTGACAGAGAAGGAATGGGAGAATTCACTTCACAGTATCAAAAGGTGGAAGTTAAAATATAAGAAAGACTAAAAAACAATCAGCTTCCATGGGGTATGAAGCCCCATGAGAACTATAGCACATTAGTAACTTAATAGTTTACATGACTGGACTATTCGATGAGAATGTTACTGTTATTTTTGAGCAATGGATTACGTCCGGCAGGGTTCTGAGGGTGTCTGTTCATCATTTCCTGGTTGACAAGAAGTTGATGCAGATATTCAGGATTCATTAGTGGATCTTGGGGTAAATTCGGGTGCCGGTTCCTCAGAGTATCCGTCTGGTTGTTTGGCGGCATCTTATCCTTGCCATCTGGGATTTTTCCGGGTGGGGCTTGCTGAATCTGCTTGGTGAACAGAGCAGGATCCGACAGCCGTGTCATCAGCTCGTAGAACCTGGCATGGCTCAGGTGTCCCCTCACGCGGTACAGGAGATAAATGTCACCGATCTTGCAGTTCTTTGCCACTGCATGCACGACCCCTCGGACTTTACTGCTGACGTGGACAGGCTTCGCAGTGCGGAGAAGGTAAACTTGCACGCAGGGGAGCCACATTAACCCAAGGAAGACAATGTAGCAACAGGTGACGAAGGTCAGCACGATCATCCACAACCACACGATCAGAAACACCTTTTCGTACAGCTCCATTATTGTTAGGTGACAACCAAACTTTTCTATACGTTTGTTTACGAGTTGATTTTCATTAGAAAGCTCGCAAGAGGCAAATGGAGGGAATGTTTGTGACATGTAATCTGTGAACTTCTGAGGATCTCTGTTAAATGGATAAGACTTAAATCCGTACTGAATAAATCGTCCCTGGAGTATGAAATTCAAGAACAGCATACCAAAAATATCAATAATTAATGCTAGGACATTGACAGTAAGATATTTCCAGTAGAGTCCATCGTGGGTCTTGATATTAAAAGTGATGTATCTAGCGGCTCTCTCCACCAGGTCTTTCTCTATGTGGTCATATGCGTGAGCGTTGGCGGCAAGGTCTTCCAAAAGTTTCTTGCATCTTGCGTTGTCGAAGTTCTTGGAGACTTTACGTGGGATGTAATACACTCCAGCTAGGACGAGGAGTGACCAAGATATCCAGCGGTAGAAGAGTAAGTATCTCTTGGAACCATTATCTTCGATGTAAGGGTATGAGAGACAAATATTGATGTAGTCGAGGCGGACCTGAGTCTCAGCGTTGAAGTGCGACACGCACGTGATGACATCACGGTAATACCTGGTGAATGAATAAAATTTATAGCGAAGATGAAGTAAGCTTTAAACATATAGGCCTTTCACGATGCTTTTTTTTTAAGAAATGAGTGATTCACATTGAAATTCAACAAGCTTTTATTCAACTGATTATAATATTTTATGCCTTACGAATAATCCCACTAAATACATTATTTGAGATTAACAAAAGAAATATATGCTTATAAAACAAAATTAATATAGCAGTGCTTGAAGCATATGATTCATTATATTAATTTCTAAGTCCAGGCCTATAATGCACTTCAGAAACGCATGACACACTAGACGTGGCAATTTCAGCACCTAACAACTGTTAAAAAATACTTGATAAACACAAGATAAATAATGCCGATAAATACAAAAGAGACATATGCAATGTTTGTCATTATAGAAACGTCGCATACACAGATAACCAGCACATAGGAGAGAAAAAAGTTCAGGACGACGTTTTGGTCCGTCTTGGACCATTCAAAAGTCAAACGGCTTGACTTTTGAATGGTACAAGTCGGAGCGAAACGTCGTCTTGAGTTTTTCTCTCTTCTATGTGCTGGTTATTTATGTATTGTTCCAGTCACGGTATTGTACCTTATTGCTCTTCAAAAACGTCACATATGTTTCTCTTTCATAAAAAAAGAAAGCTTCAAACGCCATTAATATTTTAGAAAAATACAGAAGTATATAATGAGAGCCAAATTTAGAAAAATACAGAAGTATATAATGAGAGCCAAATTATTATTTTTTTCAAATGTTTATTCAGTACATTTTGTCCAGTGTATTACTGAATATTCTAAACTACGTATATTGACGTTATACCAACTAGTTAATGGATTCAGAATCACTAACACGCAGCATACCGAGGTAACACAGTACATATAATCGAAAAATCTATTTGAAAACGCGAGGTAGCCCAGAATGATTAACATATAATAAAGAAAAACTAAATTAAACGTAATCCGAAAATGTTTGATTGATACATGAGTTTATCCTGGAACACCAGATTACAATAGCAGGAAGGAGGTTTCATAATATTAACCCCCCAAAAAATGAGTAGCGATGAAGGATGAAGTACCAGGGTGAGTGTGTGGCTGATGGAGTCTGGCTCAAGCGTAAGGTGAAACAGCTCCTACAGACTGTAGGGTAAAGACACGTGTATATTAATCAAGACAGTTTATTAGGGAAACGTTTCGCCCAATAGGGGCTTTGTTGTCTACCATCCACTACTTAGACTAATGGGTGGTTCCACTATGACCCCGCCTCCTCCTACTTTGTCTCACCTTACTTCAGTATATAAGCCACATCTACGGCCCTATGCTGAACTTTCTACAAGATTGATGGACTGAGCACATCGACTCCAGGCTGAGGGACTGATTACCTCAAACTCCTCCTCTCCTTACACCTTTCTGCTTTGTATTGGACTGATGAAGCCACTGTGTGGCGAAACGTTTCCTGCATAAGTGTCTCAATCTTCAACTTATGAGTTTTTAAACCATTTGGTCTGTAATCATGGATTGAACCTTTGAAGAAACTGCTGTCTAGAAAAGTAATTCCTTCACTGCATTGTCGGACGAATGTGATTCAGCTCTGGGGGACATAACGAAGGCCACTAAGGAAGGCAAAAAAAAAATAATGCCTGTACTTTGTAATTTTCAAGTTAAATTTGCGGACAGAGCTTTTTTTGTAACAAGGATAAGAACATGAGGCAAAAGGAGTGTTTTCCTGGAATGAAGATGAAGGATATGGTTAGCAGATTGTTGGAGTAAGGTATTACAAATACCGTTTCGCTAGCCAGGAGCTCTGTGAAGCAGGTTAGGTACCGTTATCTGTCTCAACACGGAAGGAAACGATGTTGGGAAACATAGGAGAGAGAGAGAGAGAACTTCCTTACCAGATATCCGACAACAGATGTAATTGGAATTTTGAGAGGGACTCATCATGTGGCAACGGTGTCTTATTCATCAACTGTTACTATTTTTTCTAACTGGATAAGCACTGCAAAAATACTGCAGTGCTATTTATTGATAACTAGGGACATTTCGGCAGAAATAACATGTATGATAAAGATAGGGTGTTGGCAATGGTTAATTTAGTAGAGGGTGGTGTAGTTATTGCTATGTTTCAAGCTTTAAACTGAGGCAAGTTAGATAAATGGGTGTTTTGGGTAAGTTTGAGATTGAAGAACAATAGATTTTAAAAATAACAGCTAATAAAATAGTAAAGTAAAACGGGCAGATAGTATCTAGAGGTATGACGTAAGAAAAACATTCAGAAACATTAGGAAATTGTATAAAAAATAAGTGGAAAAGAAAAGATTAACTGAGTAAGAATACTTAAGAAAAACTTTCTCAATCCGGACAAAAACAGTCGAGGGAAGTGGAATGAGATAAACGAAACAGGTAGTTAATTGCATGTACAGGAAAAGTCGATATTACTGCAATAACCGAAACATGATTTAATTCGAAGTATAAACACCTGCAGCATGTCACGTACAAGGACTTAAATTATTCCACATTGATAGACAAGACTAGAGGTGGAATAGAGACGTATGCTATGGAAAAAAATCGCTTGTACAAAAATCTGAAATTACTAACACTGACTCTGTTTGGAAAGCGACCCTGAGACAGTTCTTAAGGTTGTTGAGTCTTCACCGTATAATATTGTAGTAATTTTATGGGATTTTTAATTTTAGCTAAATTGACAATATATAATATATATATAATATATATATATATATATAATATATATATATATATATATATATATATATATATATATAATATATATATATAATATAATATATATATATATATATATATATATATATATATATATAATATATAATATAATAATATATAATATATATATAATAATATAATATATATATATATATATATTATATATATATATATATATATATATATATAAAATATAATAATATATATATAAATATATATATATATAATATATAATAATATATATATAATATATAATAAATATATATATAAAATATATATATATAAATATAATATAATATATTATAATATATATTATAAAATATATTAATATATATATATATATATAAATATATATATATATAGCTATCTGGAACTTAGCGAGTCGCTGACTTCCCTGTCCAGCACATCACTACGAATGGGTGTTAATGTCATTCCTGTGTTCAGATCAAGAGATAAAGTCTGTCATCAAAGTAACGCCCAATAAGCCTGAGTTGAACAACAGGCAAATTATTAGAATCGATAACAGAAGATGCAGTAAGAAGGCATCTTGATGCTCGTAATTTTACTGACGAGTTTTAACACAAGTTCACTTTCTGACAAGTTTACTGGCATTCAGTAAATTATTACACTGCATGTCTGTTTTACCACTGTCTGAATTTCATACAATTTTCTCTTCTTTAATGGCCTTGACAATGGAATAATAAGCAACACAAAAAAGAAGCAGGATGAATAATAGAATAATAGAATCGCAGGTACTATCGAATTTCAGGAAGACTTAGGCATGCTAATGTCTTCGTCCGAAAAATAAGTTTATTGAGTTATACACAAATACAGTTACATTGATTATCATACATAACAGCATATGTATAGAGAACCTAAGGTAACCCCAGAAAGTCAGACTAAGTGATTTATTTCCACCTGCAAACTAGATAATGCAGTTTGATCATAATGTGAAGATGACCTGGGAGTCATGGTAAGCAGTATTCTGAAGTCAAGGCAGCGGTGCCTAGGCGTGCGTAAGAAAGTTAACAGACTACTCCCATTTAATCAAGATGTATAGCTAGTAGGAGTCCAAAGGCTACTTTATAGCTCTATACGTCCTTAGTAAGGACTCAGCTTATTCAGCTCAGTTCTAGTCTTCACACTGCAGAATGAATATAAATGAATTGTAGAACATACATAGCAAGATGACAAAGTTAATCCATTGCATAAGAGTATGGAACAGAACTCATCTCCAGGCTGAGGGACTGACAACCTCAAATCTTCGGCTTCAAGGGTGATGGACTGATTACATCGTCCTCACATCTCTACTGCTCCTGCCTACTTTCTATACTCGACTGAAGAAGCCTACTGTGTAGGCGAAATGTTTCGGAATAGAGATGCCTAACTATTGCCTATATATCTTACTTACCAACCTGTCGGTATTATATACCATTTTGATATTCATAAGGAGCCATACACACGAGGACAGACTGAGAACTCTAAACCTACACTCCCTTGAAAGATGTAGGCTGCAAGGATATATAATTGACGTATACAAGCAGAAAACAAGTTTAAACAAATGACATATAAATAGGATGTTAAAAATATGCAACCATGCTAAGCAGGTCCAACAAATCTACTAATAACAAAAGTGTGCAACCCAATTTTCAATGCTACCCAAGCAATAAGCTTTGATAATTCTATTTACTCGTGTGCAAGTCCCAATGGCTGCCTCCGGGATCGTAGATGAATGGAGCAAACTCCCAAGTACAAGAACACAAGAATGAAATATAATCATGAAAATTGTATATAATACTGACAAGTGGATAAGTAAGCCACGTGTTTAACATACTTCTGCTGTCTCCATATGTTGACCTCTGTACTCGACTCAAGACGCCTACTGTGTAGGAGAAAGAATGAAAGAAAGAATGAGCACTGTAGCAGGCGTACTGGCCGAAGCTAGGTAGGTCCTGATTGACTGAAGCCAGATTGGTCTAACTCACACTCGCATATTTATTTCTCTAACTTATTTTTAAAACTACACAACGTTTTAGCTTCACTGACGTTATGCAAGAAAGGTATACAATACCGACAAGATGAAAGTTAAGACATGTGCAACATCTGGTTATCTTTATTGTAGATGTTTCGCCATCCAGTGGTTTTATCAATACAGAATCTGTATCTTAACTTTATTCATTAACGTTATTCGGGAGTTTGTTCCACTCATTCACAACTCTATTACCAAACCAATATAAATTTTTCCAATTTGAATGCATACCTGTCCAACCTACGTTGAAAGCCAGCCAAGGTTCCCGCTTCAGTGACACTACCTGGAAGTTTGCTCCACATCTACTACTCTTTTGTAGCTTAAATAACAGTTGAAGACTTACCAGGAGTACCACACCGTGAGGAAGCCGCCCAACAGGAGACAGAAGGTCCAGCGGTAGTGCATCCTGAGGACAAGACCGTCGCAAGTGGCAGCACATATCTGGTTGGCTCTTGTTTTGATAACGTTTAAGACACTGCCTATGATGGCGCGAATGTCCACACTGGCTGGCATCCTCGCTCCTGTGGAAAAATGACGAGAATCAGTAAGGAGAACCCAGTGTTGAAACACTGGTATAAAATGCCGACGAGTTGATGATTAAGACACAAGTGCAACAGTTAGGTATCTAAACTTGTCGGTTTTTCAAACCATTCATCACATCGGCAAGTTTGCCGATGACACCAAAATAGGCCGTCGAATTCATTCTGACGAGGACATTCGAGGGGACCCAGGAAGATTTGAATAGAGATGGGAGTGGTCGGAGAAGTGCGATGCGTTTAATGAGACAAAAGTTGGAAAGGAAACAATAACCACCACATATAACTAAAATTTTAGTTTCTTAATACGGATTGCGAAAAGATTTAGGAGTCTGGTTAGGGATAATCTTTAAACCAGACACAGTGCATAGTGTTTTGCAATAAGCACAGATCCTTGCTTCATATCAAGAAGCATAATAATAGGATCCTAGGTTTTTTTTTTTTTTCAACTCTATACATCCTTGGTTAGGCCTCATTTAGATTATGCTGCACAGTTTTGGTCACCGTATTACAGAATGGATATAAATTCTCTGGAAAATGTACAAAGGAGGATGACAAAGTTGATCCCATGTATCAGAAACCTTCCCTATGAGGATAGACTAAGGGCCCTGAATCTGCACTCTCTAGAAAGACGTAGAATTAGGGGGCAGCCTCTGTTTTTGACTGAAAAAGCTTATTGGCGAAACGTTTCAACAATAAAGATACCCAACTGTTGCACTTGTGTCTTAATCAAGGAGAACCCAAAATAAGGTCAAAATATAATTAATTATGTTGTTAGGTAAGACACATATGCAACAGTTAGGTATCTTTATTTCGAAACGTTTCGCCTACACAGTAGGCTTCTTCAGTCGAGTACAGAAAAGTTGACAGAAGCAGAAAATACTTGAAGACGATGTAATCAGTCCATCACCCTTGAAGTTTTGAGGTGGTCAGTCCCTCAGTCCATAGTCTGAAACAATATTGTTTCAGACTATGGCGAAACGTTTCGAAATAAAGATACCTAACTGTTGCATATATATCTTACCTAACAACCTGTCGGTATTTTATACCATTTTAATGTTCATAATTAATTATCTTGACACCACTGATGAAACAGACGTTATAAGCCAATCGTCATAACTTTCTTACCACTTCAGAAGGAGCACCTTGTTGGTGAAGAGCTCTTGAGGCATGGAATTAGAGCCACTCTCCACAGTCTACAATGAAACCTGATTATGTTCTTATGCAACTGACTGGCTTTGGGCGGTAGCTGGGGCCGGTAGATGACTTGGACCTTGCCTAGCATGGGCCAGTAGGCCTGCTGCAGTGCTCTTTCCTTCTTATGTTCTTATATCTGTCAGACACACCAACATCTTGGAATCTTGATACAGGGAATTCTTCAACGCTTGCCTAACTAGTCATGACCTACTTACACTAGTGGATTTTCCCACTGGTGACTCCGCCTCCTGCTGCTACTTCAGCTCACCTGACTGCAGTATATAAGCCACTTCTCCACGCACAGATACTTTTCTCAAGACTGATGGACCGATCACATCGACTCCAGGCTGAGGGACTGATTACCTCAGCTCCTCCTCATCTTCCACTTTTCTGTGTACTGGACTGAAGAAGTCATTGGCTGGCAATAAAGATTCCCAAATGTTGTGCAAGTGTTTTATTCTTCAACTTGTGGGTTTTCTATGCCATTTACATCAAGCACCCCAGTAAGCCTACTGGCCCAGCTAAGGCGGTCACACTCACACCCAACCACTCTTGCGCCGTTTACTGAATTCTCAGTTACTCAAAATACTCACAAGAACATAAGACTGGAGGAGCACTGTAGTAGACCCACCGGCCCATGCTAGGCAGGTCTAAATCACACCCATCCACACACTGGCGTACCTCTCCAACCTGGTTTCATAACCATTCAAAGTTCTGGTTTCAGTGACTATCTGAGAGTTTGTTCCTCTCGTCGATAATGAGCCTCAATGGGGCTACCTAATACTTTTTTTTATCTTTTAAACTCTACCTCGGGCCCAATTACTTCCCTAAAGAAAAATATTTATTGTAATATTGGTAGAATTATCGGCAATATATTAGGTAAAAGGACAAATGCAACTAATATGACATTTTATCGAGTTTTACCAAGCCGAAAATATTTATAATAAATCCAATAAACCCACGAGGCTCAACAGCCGTTTAATGTACCATAGCCAAGATTTTTTTTTTTTTTTACCTTGACGAGGAGTTTAAAAGTTTCTAACGGGCAGCATGCACAGCTTCAAGGTCAAAGTATAGAAACTGGAAAGACGAGTGACCACCCTCGCCGATGACGTCCCCCTGAGCAGAATGCAAGATTCGTCGCCAGTGTTGGTGATGATGTTGTGACTCGTGGTGGTAAGTTTGTCCAGGTCCCAGACCAACGTTCACCGGTGCGAGTATTTCTAACACCTCACAGTAGCAAATACCTGCACGCTGATTAAGATTATTTGTATTAATGTTGGTAGAGTTACCAACAATGTGTAAAGCAAAAGGACACAAGTGCAACTAATGTGACTTATTGTGGCAACATTTCGCTCTCCAAGAGCCTTATCAAGCCGTTGATAAAGCTCCTGAAAAGCGAAACGTTGCAACAATAAAATGTGACATTAGTTGCACTTGTGTCCTTTTACTTTACAAGATTATTTGTCGTTTAAGTGGTATCTACGAGAGGTGGAAAAAATACACGCCAAGTGCAGTACAATGCCATCCTTGGCGGTATGGTGATGCCGACATACTGTGAAAAATGACACTTGTGTACAGTTCAGGAAACGTTTAGGCACTCGTGGCGAAACGTCGCTTCAATAAATGTCCTGGACTGTACACAAGTGTCATTTATCAAGGTCTGTTTGTGACTTGATAAAGCCCACTGCGTGAGCGAAACGTTGCCATTAAAGGATCGCACTGTACTGCGGGTGTCTTTTTTCCCAGTGTCGACATTTTATACAATTTGTCTTCATTTACATGAAGCAGCCACGAGACTACATTGCTTACTAGTAGAGCTATATACCAGGACATTGTAGTTAAATGGTTCGGAGAACGAATACGTTGATTAATTAGACACATGTGCAACACTTGGGTATCTTTACTGAGAAAACGTTGGGCCACACAGTGGCTTCATCGGTCCTATACAAAGAAGAGTGAAGATCAGGAGTTTGAGGTAATCAGTCCCTGGAACGCCCCGGTAACCCTACTGGCTAGCGATAGGCAGGTCCTACTCACACTCACGCACCTGTCTGACTTATTTTTAAGCTATCCAAGATACTCCCTTCAATAATCTTACTTAGAAGTTTGTTCCACTCATCCACAACTCTATTGACAAACCAGTGCTGTCTTATATCATTCGTTATGTACACTTCGACGGAGTTATATACACTTCGACGGAGTTTCGCAAGAGTCGCAAAAAAAAAAAGAGAAACTGGAAGCCTTCCACAGGAATATCAGTGATTTCACCGACGTTCACATCTCTGATCAGTCAGGATAGTCTCCGACATTTCTCTGCTGGAGAAAGTTTCTCCCGTACATAAATTTGGCAAAATCATGGGCAGGCACTAACCTGGTAGAAAACAAACTAAAATGACTAAAGCAAACGTAAATTACGTCGTTGAATAACTTGTAGTTATATACTGTACAAAGTCACCATGAATGCCACCTGGATTTCTTAAGACACATTTCCTTTGAATCGCAGCAATGAATTCAATATCGAAAAAATATGACTTTGAGGAAAAGAAATGGGAAAGCACTGGTTTGCCAATGTATTCACAAAGTAATCTATACTCTTATTTTTTCAAAAATAAATAGAAAAAAAAAACCTTGTGTACTGAGCGGCCGTCACTTGGTATCACATGCGTCATGAGTATAAAATCAACCACAAACCACAATACAAATCCACCTGAGTTTCCACACATCGCAAAAATATCAAACCGACTTCGCTACTGCTTTGTACTAAAGTAACATATCATACCAATACAATTACCAAGCTACTGGCACGTTACCACTGAAACACTTCAATAATACATACATACACGCTATCATATCTGTTGCTGGTATGCTGTAGCACACGCCACGAGGATTCTATTTATACAAGTATTAATTAACACGGCAGCACTAACCTGTTATCACTGGGCAAGTGTGCGAACACCATGTAGTTCAGGTAACGCAATGGACACTTCGCTCACTGAATAGCAGTTGTTGTGGAGGGCTGAGCACACACGCTCAGGTCCCAGGCAACACTGACTGACCGCTGGACGCAGAACATCCTCGAGGACTCTTGCTGAGAGATACCGCACGCCACCACATCATCTTATTCCATCCATCTCATATATATGCATATATATCACTTATAGTTAAGTTTTACTTACGTTTATGCATTCCATTCATAAAAGCATCCCCTTTATAATTCTACCAGTTTACAGGATAACTTCACTACAAGGGGCTCCTTATCCATCTACCTTACATTTCTGATGCTGGGATTAAATATGCAATTCTGTCTTTGTTTATTTTCAGCATTTTTATATGTCGTCCATATATACATACAACATAATATAAAAAAAAAAGTGGTCCAGCCAGTGGTACGTGGTTTTACTAAATTACTGAGATTTTTGCTGCTTAAATGTGCTAATATTAATTTCAGCAGGCTGCTCGATGCAGTCAGCAGGTGCATTGTAAGCAGCACACCGTTGCCTTCACTTCAGATTTTTACTAACCAGAATTCCTAAATCTGTGTGCACACACGCACACGCGCGCGCTCACGCCACACACACACACACACACACAAATTTTAAATTTATATATATATATATTACATATATATATATATATATATATTATATATATATATATATAATATATATATATATATATATTATATAATATATATATAAAATATTTTATATATATAAATATCTCCAGCGTCTGGAATCTTTATTTTGTAGGTGCGTCACTTGGTTGGTAACATACTCAGCTCAAAAATTAAGTGTCCGTCGTCCATTCCCCGGCACGGGTGGAAACTTAAGAACGTAAGAAAGAAGGAGCACTGCAGAAACGATGGACATGTTTCTGAACACCTGCAGCCCCTGTTCACCTAGCAGTAAGTAGGTACCTGGGTGAAAATAATTGATATATCATACCGACAAGTGAGGTGACGTGTGGGTAGAGGTGGTAGTAGTAGTAGTAGTAGTAGTAGTAGTAGTAGTAGTAGTAGTAGTAGTAGTAGTAGCAGTAGTAGTAGTAGTAGTAGTAGTAGTAGTAGTAGTAGTAGTAGTAGTAGTAGTAGTAGTAGTAGTAGTAGTAGTAGTAGTAGTAGTAGTAAAGGAACTAAGGAGGTGAGGCTAGAGAGGGACCTGCTGGCATCAAGTAACACCAGTTCCCAGGATGGGTAATATCCTCTTGCTTAGTAATTTTGAAATACTGTAACTACCGGATTTTTGCTTTATAGTGTTACTGACAGAAATTAGTGCAGCTTCAATAGTATTTTCTCCGTCTTAAGTCGTCTTCTTTAATAACTAGTTTAGCTTCATTGAATTTTATGAGGTGTCCAACATCGTCTCTATGTTGAAAACTGCGTTTTTGCAGTCATCATTTCTGCAAGCATTTTTGTGTTCGCTATCCTAATGTCCAGAGTTCTGGCTGTTTCCCCTACATATACTTTGTCACACACCCCACATGGTATAGTGTAGATTCCTGCACTTGTGCCAGAATCATGCTTGGGTTTTTGTGTCAGGTTCCTAATAGAGTTGAAGAGCTGGTAGATATTTTAGCCGTTTTCTGTCAAACATTTTTGAAACATTAGTGGCAACGTTTGCTGACCAGTAAAAACGATGTAACTTGGAGGCTTTTCTTCAATTTGATAGGTGTTGGTCTTGTTGAGGATACGTGTCACAAAGTTTCCTGCAGTACGTATGAAGTGTAGGGGAAAGTGTAGTGAACTAAAAGAGTTGGTTATGTATGTACATTCTTCTTCGAGGAACTGCGGACTGGAAATTCTGTAGGCTCTCAGAAAGAAGCCAATAACTATCCCTCTTTTAGTTCTTGTGTCATGGTGAGAGAAGAAATGTAGAAGATCCTTCTTGTAGGTAGGCTTCCGGTGACTTTAAAAGAAAGTTTGTTTTCCCTGTGGTAAGAGAACGTTGAGAGAAAAAGGGAATTGGTTGTCCTTCTCCTCTAGTGTAAATTTAATAGTAGGTTCCAGAGTGTTGATGGTGTTGAGGATGCCCCGTACGTCAAGATTTTTGGGTACAATGATCAAAATATCATCTACGTACCGCATCCATGTAACTGAACGAGGGATGTTACTGAGGATCCTTCTTGATTCCAGGTCCTCCATATATAAATTGGCAAGAACTGCACTAAGGGGGGATCCCATGGCCAGTCCGAAGAGTTGTTTGTACTTCTCGTCCTCAAACCTAAAACAGTTATAACGAACACAAAGTTCGACAAGGCTCACAAAATCTTGGCGGGGTACAGGTAACTCTGTATTATCTTTAATAACCCTGCGAAGAAGATCAATGGCTTGATCAACTGGGACATTGGTGAATAAGGCAGTCACGTCAAAACTTGCAAGCTTCTTATCACTCATGTCGAGATCCCTGATACGGTTAAGGTCATCCGAATGCTTTAGATGAGCCTGGCTGATTGTACCCAGGAGCTTTGACAAATATTTCGCCAAAACTGTGAGACGGAGAAAATGCATCGAAGCCGCACTAATTTCTGTCAGTAACACTATAAAGCAAAAATCCGGTAGTTACAGTATTTCAAAATTACTAAGCAAGAGGATATTACCCATCCTGGGAACTGGTGTTACTTGATGCCAGCAGGTCCCTCTCTAGCCTCACCTCCTTAGTTCCATTACTACTACTACTACTACTACTACTACTACTACTACTACTACTACTACTACTACTACTACTACTACTACTACTACTACTACTACTACTACTACTACCACCTCTACCCACGCATCACCTCACCTGACTCCCGCCACTATATATATATGTGTTTTCTTAGTTTTCTCTGTATTAGGACTGAAGAAGCCACTCGTGGCGAAACCTTTCCTTTAATAAATGTCCTGAACTGTACATAAGTGTCTTTTTCCACACTGTTGTCTTGGTTTCAGATTACTGCTAACCAGAACTCCTAAATCTTTTTCGGAATCCGTAATATTAAGATCTACATTATTTAGTTTATATGTGGCATGTGGTCCTGTCCAACATTTAGAACTTTGCATTTGTCTATATTTAAAATGCTCTGCCCCTTTATATATATATATATATATATATATATATATTTATATATATAATATAATATATATATATATTATATATATATATATAAAATATATATATATATATTTTATATAATATATATATATTATATATATATAAATTTATATATAAAATATATATATATATATATATACTATATATATATATATATTTTATTATATATATATATATATATATATATTTTATATATATTCTTTCTTTCATTCAACACATCGGCCGTTTCCCACCGAGGCAGGGGGGCCCAAAAGAAAAAACGAAAGTTTCTCCTTTTACATTTAGTAATATATACAGGAGAAGGGGGTTTCTGCCCCTTGCTCCGGCATTTTAGTCGCCTCTTACAACACGCATGCTTACGGAGGGGGGAATTCTGTTCCAAATTCCCCATGGAAGATATATATATATATATATATATATATATATATATATATTATATATAATATATATATATATACATATATGTTTTCTTAGTTTTTTCTGTATTAGGACTGAAGAAGCCACTAGTGGCGAAACTTTTCCTTTAATAAATGTCCTGAACTGTACATAAGTGTCTTTTTCCACATCTTGTCGGTATCACCATACCATTTCCTCATACCGACAAGATTGGGAAAAAAAGAACATTTAAGTACAGTTTAAGGCATTTATTGAGGGTAACGTTTCGCCACGATTGGAGAAACGTTTCCTTCAGTAATTGTCCAGAACTGTACATAAGTATTTTTTTCCACAGCAGGTACCTGGGTTTAAGTCGACTGTTCTGGGTCGCATATCGGGGAGTGGTAGCATGCCATAGATCAGCTGGTTTTCGAAATGAGATGAAACAGAATATCAGCTCTTAGCCTGGAAAAATGATTTACGTAAAAAAAATATAGGAACATTAAAGGAAGACTGTAGAAGAGGAGGTAATCAGTCCCTCAGCCTTGCATAATTATGTGTGAATATACAGAAGACAATAAAAGATGATTGAATCAGTCCCTTAGTCTAGGTTGCAGGTGTTGAGTACCGTAGTTTTGATTAATCTTGATTCATTGACGTAAGCCGGTGGGAGACTTGGACCTGCCTCGCCTGGGCCAGTAGGTCTGCGGCAGTGTTCCTTCTTTCTTATGAAGATTGAGACACTTATGCAGCATATGGGAATCTTTATTCAGGAAACGTTTCGCCACACAGTGGCTTCATCAGTCCAATACAAAGAGGAAGGCGTAAGGAGAGGAGGAGTTTGAGGTAATCAGTCCCTCAGCCTGGAGTCGATGTGTTCAGTCCATCAATCTTGATGGACTGAAGATTGATGGACTGAACACATCGACTCCAGGCTGAGGGACTGATATCCTCAAATTTCTTCTGATCTTCAACCATTTTTCTCTATACTGGACTGAGGAAGCCACCAGTTTGCTGAACGTTTCCACAGTAAAGATACCCAAGTGTTGCAATAAGTCATCAACAAGTTATCTACATGATCATGTAGATGGACAGTCTTCCATCCTAAAGAAGAAGCAAATAACCATATACGTATGTACAGGCAGGTGAAGCATATCCACTTGGAGATGAGGTCACAGGTGGGCTGGTCTTACTAGTGGAAGTAGGTAGCAAACGAGTTGCTGAAAACATCCCCTGTGACGAGATACCATCGGGTTGAAGACAATGGCTCCTTTCTAATTTTCTTCCATTTATGTCCTTGAATTTGTATTGATAAAGCCACTGGATGGTGAAACGCCTTTAATGAAGATAACTAGATGCTGCACATGTTTAATTCTTCATCTTGTCGGTAATGTATACGATTTATGTACATACCATCGGGTTGCAGTGTCACACTGGTCTTGTGCAAAGAAAGGTATAAAATACCGACAATATGAAAGTTAAGACACATGTGCAACATCTGGATATCTTTATTGTAGTAGACGTTTCGCCATCCAGTGGCTTTATCAATACAGATTCTAGGACATAATAGGAAGACAGTAGAACTATATACAAAAGATGAGGTAATCAGTCCCTCGG